AATGGTATTTCCTCCACAATTTTGGATTAGAGTACGTGGAATAACCTAAACAAGGCCGAAAGTTTAAATAATGTTTCAGATTTAGTTTTTAACATGAACGTTCTTTATTGATTCAAAATCAACACGTTTGCTTTACCTCTAAAGCACGTGCAATTGCTTTGTAAGGCCACTGGCGGACACCTTCCATAGATTTCCCCTTCTCAGTAATTGCCTGAATAGATTACACTCAGGGATAAGGAAACATAAGTCTTAAAAGAAGAGTACTTGAGCGAGCGCCATTTCTAATGCTCCACCACCTGGAACAAGGCGGGGATTCAGCATGATATTACGTACGACGTGAAGAGAATCTTGGAGATTACGTTCAACCTATAAGAAAATTATCATATGTTTAAAAGTGATGGGAAGTATCAGGCAAAGGTAGTATCAATCAACAAGCCTCATTTATAACGTCCTTGGAAGGACCGCGAAGGCATATTGTGCATGCAGTAGTTTTCGGAGAAGTAACATAGGTATAATATCTAAAAAAAAGGTACTGAATGCAAAAATATAGAACACACAATTACTCACTGTCATACAAACAACTTCAAAAACGAAATGTGCAGCTTTTTTGAGCACTCACTTAGGATGCATCATAGTCTATTAGTCAATTCGTTTATGGCTGTATAGGCAAAAAGTACGGTACTAGGTATCTTACGTCGTAGCCTGCAGATAACCGTAAGTTGGTGTCCCTCTAGGTCGAGTACCCTATCTATGTTTGTTAGCTTTGAAAATCTTATACGAAACAGTTTGGCAACTTACAAAATAAAGTGTGGCGGCAGACACGGTTAACTCTTAATTAGCACTGCATGCTATGCAAATCTTTGGCCTTTTTGCCCCTAGATATAACGGTGTAAACGGTACTCACTCATCGGCAATCTTTGTAATTTCGAACAGATCCGCTTCAACGCCAACATCGGACTCACGAAGGTCGGTAGTGTCATTGACAATTCGAGCACCGCAAACCCTAAAATATTTAAAAGAGATATGCAAACTGCCTTCGAAGTGGCGCTTTTGCCTTTTTGAAGCTTGATTTAAATTTTCAAGGAAAATGAAAGAAACAAAAAAGAAAAGAAAAACTCGTGCCCATTATATTTAACATGGTCGTAATGCACTTGACAGAGGGCTCAAAGT